GTTGTCACACTGGGGCTTGGGTATCTTGGGTTGCTCCGGGCCCATGCGTCAACTGTGGCATTTTTCCCGGGGGTTCTCAAGGATTTGGGTGAATGGTGCGCTTGTTGGCTTTTCACACCCATTGTAACCTGGTAGTTCCCAGCCATCCCCTTAGATTTTTAGAGCCTTTTAGTGCTCAGTGACGATTTCCATTTCAATCCACTAAAAGTTAAACTTTTAGCAGGGGATCAGAAAACGGCCATGGTGTTCAATCGTTTGTGAACCAGGATGTCTTGGTTTTTGCCTTGGGGTGAGTGCGTATGCCAAAGGACTCCCCGCATTTGCGGGTTCCCTTGTAAGAGACTGTGGGGCTTGTGAAGTGGAAAGTCGGGAGGCCAGTGGTAGTTCACCAAGGCTACACTGGGCGAGGCCTAAGGAATGTTGGGGTGACCATTTGGGCGTGGCTCATTTATGGGAGCTCTTTTCTTGCTGGTGCTCCGTAGGGAGTGAGGGAAGCCTAAACCCCGGGTTCCAGGGTGGTTTGTAGGGTCATTCCCTCATTCCCTCCGCTTGGATTTCGTTCCTGCGAAACAAATGGGTGTTTGTGCTCTTTTTGAGGGTACTGTTTTGGGGTTGGTTCGAAGGAAAACTGGAGGTTAAATAGAAACACACCATTTTAGGGCGTCTGTTTTGAGACGCACTTTTATCCAGGAAATGCTGGAGGACTACGAGCTCTCAGGATTCGAGGAGGCAAGCACGCAGCTTTGACTCAGATGCTGCACGCCGGTCCCTCCCAATCTTCCGTTTGCTTAGTCCATTCTCGACTCTTGATGCTCATGTCCAGGATTCGCGTGTAGGGTTTGCCAAAATGGATGTGGTCAGACAGCGGGGCCAGGGTTTGTCACACACGAACCATCTACTGATTCAGAGCCATAGCAAGGGGAGCCGTTGCAAGCTAATAGTGGCTATTAGAGATCTTTAGGTGCCATTAAGGACCATTCATTGATATACACTTCCAATTGCTTAAGTATATGTGTTTGTTTTTCCTGGTGGTTTTTTTTTTTAAAGGGGATCATAGTTATATATATATATATATTAATGTACATGTATACATACCCCTCACATGGCTCCCTTGCTGTTGCTCTGAACCAGTATTTGGATTTGCTCGCCCTGCAGCCTCCCAGCCTTTCAAGCACAAGAAAGGGACAATCGCCAGTGACGATTTGGCGTTTGCTGAGTGTTGTGGATGACAAGGGGAAACGAATCCAAGTTGCAATGTGAAGAGCTCTCAAAATGACGGACCCCCTTTTGGTGGGTGCTTGAAGGGTTGCAAAAGGAACCCAACCACCTGGACGGGGCCCTAATTTTGAGAAACACCCATGTAGTTTGGACAGAATCACCTTGGCACCCTATGTTTCTGACATGGAAGGATTTCTTGCTCAGAATTCCCACATTGTGCCACAGCATATGGACTTTGTTGGGCCGTGTGCCGTCCCCGATATGGCACTCCCACACAGAAGTGTTGCGAATATGTAACATTTGACACGATGTTTAGGTCAAATGATGGTCTCGGGTGACTAGGCAGAGGTCTCCATCCGGGCCTTGTCCCAAGAGCTGAACAGGAGGTCCCCGCCAGTTCCACCAAGCATGCGCCTTTGCCGAGTGCTTTTGCGGGCGTTTCTGGTAAACTCAGGGTGTTCACACGTCTTCCTTGCGTCGCCTGGTGCTTCGGTGCTTCATGGGGTTCTGTGTCCTTCCCGCCACGTGGTACCTGAGCAGCAGTTTGCTTGTTCAGCTGGTTTCCCCGGTTGTCGTGGCGTCCCACTTAGGGGATTCGGCACCATTCCACTTTCTAGCCATAACTTGCACGATGGATGTGGGTTTGTCTCAAAATAGGATATGGAACCAATTCCCAAACTTAGGGGGGAGGGGGGTCCTATGGTTCTACAAACCTTCAAAAGGATCTGGTTTGCCTTTGGGGTTCTCTTAAACTGGATTCTCGTTAAAACGGCCAAACAAGTTGCATTTCTCTATATATTATATCAAAAAAATAGTTGCAAGCCTCAAGAAGGACGAGAAACGCATTTGCCAGGCCAACGCGGTGGAGAGGATGAGGGAGGATGAGCTGCTGCAGGAGCAGCGATTTCTCTCTCTCTCTCTCTCTTTTTTCTTCGGGGGGACACTTCTAGGGGTAGTGGGGTAGGGCACCACTCTTTTTGGGGGACACTTCTTTTGGAGGTGTGTTAAGTTTCTAGGGGCAGCTTCCCCCCCAATTCTTTGTAGGGGGATTCGAATCTTTTCTTTTAATACTAGCAGCATCCAAGGGGAAACAGCGATCGGTTTTTGAAAAGAACGATGTTTGAAAAGAATGGGGAATCAACCGCTAGATTCTGTTTGTTTCTTTTCTTTTTTTTGGGGGGGGGGGTCGTGTGTCTTTGTGAGGAGGGAGGAAGCCATACTGTGGATGCACGAAATCCTGCACCACCTAAGCAACCATGGGAAGCCATTTGGTATTGACAGGGACTCATCATTCCAGGGTTTCTTAGGTGGTGGAGGATTTCATCCATCCCTTCACTGCTATTGGGTTGGATCTTTAGACTTTAACATTTTGGGAAATCAAGGGGGTTCCCACGAAGCCCACAGAAAGTTAAACTTTTTGCAGAGGGGTCAACAGCAACCAAGGTGACAGGGACTCATCATTCCAGGTTTCCCCAGGTGCGAAATGGATTTTGCAACCATCCACCGTAGGGTCCACCCGTGCGGCGCCGCAAGCTTTCACCAGGGATGCACCAAAAAATCGGGGCTTGTCTCAAGAATGGGACCACCAAAAAATCGTATGATTTCGTCTCCCTGCAAAAAAAGAAAAAGCTGCGAACACCCGCAAAACACGGGCAGACCCATATATACTGGTTATGTTTGATATATATGCAATTTTCCCCTTCGGGGCGCGGGTCTTGGAAATCATCTTCTGAGCCTTAGGCCAATCTCTTTGACTAGGGAGGACCCTTGGGAATGCAGCCAGCAGAATTCCCGAGGCCGGTTGGAGATCAGATGTCCCATCCAATTGGGTCTCTCTTAGAACATGTTGTCTAGGAGGGTTTTATGGGGGGAAGCCGATGGGTCTGGAACTATCACGCCAGGAGTATCAGTCGAACTTGGCGAGCGAGTGGTCATGGCGGGAGATGGCGTCTTTTGTCCCCTACAAGCTCATCCTGGTCCTTGTGCCCCTTGGAGCAGCATGCCATTTCGAGCTTCAAATCATTTTGGGAGGCCAACCAATTGTTCCAAAAACCGTTTTGGGATCCCATTTTGGTTGGTAGGTGAATTCACCACCCATTTTGGAACCTATTTTATTGGGGGGTTCTAGGGGTACCTTCCACTTCCATTCTTAGGGATCCGAATTTTTGCAGAAAACCGTTTTCCAGAATCCCAACCAAAAAGGGGCTGGCCTTTGAAAAGACGGATTGTTGAAAAGAATGGAAAAGGAATCAAGCCCTTGAATTGTTAGCTTCGGATTCATGTGGAGGACCATCCTTACTGTGGATGGTTGCGAAATCCATTTCGCACCACCGTTCAGAAATGTCAGAAACCCTAGAATGATATGATCCCCTGTAAATACCAACGAACAATGCTTTCCCATGGTGTCTTGGGTGGTGCGAAATGGATTTCGAAACCATCCACAGTATCAAGGGTTTCACTTGATCGGGAGGTTTCTCCGATCCAAACGCTGGACCTCGAAGAGGCTTTGGAGGATCTTGAGGTTTGTACCTTGGGTGAGTGACAAGATGGTGGGCACAGGGGGCCTCACGGTCCGGTCGTTTCCCCGTTGTGGGACCTGGAAAAATGGGGATGGTCAGGTTGCCTTTCTTACCTCTTAAAAACACAACATTTCAACTTTTTGGGGGTAACATGGGCTATATGTCTGCAAAATATTAACTTCCCCAGGGCTTGGAGTTTTAAGGGGTAAGCTTTGTTGCACGTTTTGGGCGCACCTCGTGCTTGCCGAGGTTCACCTTCGGCTTTGTCGAGCTGCCTGGGCCTCATGGACGGTGACGGTGGAAAAGTGTGGGGGTGAGGTGCCGGGTGGGTGGGGGTGCCGAAGGGGGGGGGATGATTTTTCCAGGAAGCTGCGTTTAATTTACCCGTGGGGAAGCCAAACCGGGTGTTGTACGTTTCTTTTTTCCCATACACCCAATGTACATGCAACACCGCTTCCGATGTATGTTTTTTTTCCCCGAAACGAGCGAGTAGCGATGACGACCCGCTTTTTGGGGTCCCGGAGGCTGCGTTGGCAGGTCAGCTGCTTCGGCTCATTTTGCCAGGTTCATCGCAGGTGCTGGTGCAAGAACACTAGCCCAAAGCAACATGCCACTCATGGAGCCCAAAAGGGGATCCCCCCAAGAGGAGGCTCTAAGCCATGTTGTTAGTCGGTTTCATGTTGATCTGCAGGGACAGGCTTTCTATCCCTGAAGCATCGGCCGCCGAGGTACTACAGCGTACACTGCGTGCGCAGCGAGGATGGGGGATATGTCTCCAGAGAAATGCACCTTCCGCTGAGTACACGATTCAGCTTCTGGGCAGAAACAAACCGCGTTTACGCCCGCGGGTTGCTTCCTTTTCAAGCTCGTCGCTGCTCCAAATTCAGCAAAGAGGGTGCCCCACAACTCGCCGATGTAAAAGGTATCGATGGTGGGGTTGGGTTAGGTTGCCAAGCACTGGTTCAATGGCACAAAGTCCACCATTTTTTGTGGGGTGAGGACCGTTTGGGGGGTTGCGCCTTTGGGAGCCAGTTTTAAGCACGTGGCGTCGAACCCCCTTTCCACACGTGAGCGTCACTCCAGAGGGAGACTCCTTCAGTGTGTCGAAGTAGAGGGCCAAAATGGTTGGTTTGCCTTCAAGCCACCTGAAAAGGGTACGCTCAAAAACACCCATATGGCCGGTCAGCCCCGCCCAATTCAAGGGAACGCTGCTCCTAATTAGGCCCATGCACCCCCATGCGTATTTTGTTGGATAACTTGGCAGGGCGGTCGGCAGGGAACAAGCAAATGCCTGAATGCAGAAGCACGGACACCTAACCCCGAAACACATCATTCCGGGCAGAACATTCAGTGAATCAAACAAGCTCTTAGTTGTAGGCAAAACTAAGGCAACCCCCCCCCCCCCCCCGGCAGCATTGGTGGACGTTTTGTTTGTTACCTGTCAGGATTCACTCCAATGTGGTGCTAAATGGCGAACTCAGTTGTTCAGTGGCACCCTTTTTCCCCAGATAGCTGAAAGCTATAGGGGTTCTAACTTCTAATAAAGAAGGGAAAGTGATTTGCGAGATTGATGGCCGGGTGCTAGGGGGCATGCAGTTTGGGGTGCTGGTGGATGCTGTTTTGCAAGATTGACGGCCGGGTGCTAGCCGGGTGCTAGGGGGCATGCAGTTTGGGGTAATGGTGGATGCTGTTTTGCGAGCTTGATGGCCGGGTGCTAGGGGGCACAGTTGGGGTGCTGGTGGATGTTGTTTTGCGAGATTGATGGCCGGGTGCTAGGGGGCATGCAGTTTGGGGTGCTGGTGGATGCTGTTTTGCGAGCTTGACAGCCGGGCGCTAGGGAGCATGCAGTTTGGGGTGCTGGTGGATGCTGTTTTGCGAGCTTGACAGCCGGGCGCTAGGGAGCATGCAGTTTGGGGTGCTGGTGGATGCTGTTTTGCAGGATTGACGGCCGGGTGCTAGCCGGGTGCTAGGGGGCATGCAGTTTGGGGTAATGGTGGATGCTGTTTTGCGAGCTTGATGGCCGGGTGCTAGGGGGCACAGTTGGGGTGCTGGTGGATGTTGTTTTGCGAGCTTGCCGGCCGGGTGCTAGGGATGCAGTTTGGGGTGCTGCTGGATGCTGTTTTGCGAGCTCATACAGTTTGGGGTGCCGCTGGACGTGTTTTGCGAGCTTCACATTTTTGCAAGATTGATGGCCTCATGGAGCTTGGGTGCTGGTACAGGTGCTGTTTTGGGGTACGTGCTGTTTTGGGGTACGTGCTGTTTGGGGTGCTGTTTGAGGTGCTGGTGACGTTGTGGGCGCAATTTCCGAGATTGCCGGCGAGTGCTAGGGGGCATGCAGTTTGGGGCGGTGGTGCAAGTGCTGTTTTGGGTTGCTGTTTGAGATGCTGCTGACCGCATTTGTTTCTTCTCCCAGAGAACTGAAAACCATAGGCGTTCTAACTTCTAATGAAGAAGGGGACGTTGCAAGATCGACGGCTGGGAGCTTGGGGGCGTGCACTTTGGGCTACTGCGCAATTGCGTGCTGTTCAGTGGTGACAGCGCGTGACGGCAGGGTGATTGGGGACATGTCCGGTGCGCGCAGGTGCTGCATTGGGGTGCTGTTGGGGCTGCTGTTTTGAGGTGTTGGTGACGGTGCGGTGGCATATGGGTGGCAGGGTGTAGGGCGCGTGCTGTTTGTGGTGTCGCGGTTGTGGCATCATCATGATGCTGTCCGCAGCATCATGATGCAGTCAGCTGAACCGATTCGGACGTTGTTGCTGCTCTAACTGTGGCGCGTAGTGGTTCGTCTCTGGTGTATCATCATGATGTAGTCAACCACGTCATGATGCTGCTGGAATCACTGCGATGCTGCGCTATGGTTCGTGGGCGCGGTGGCGCCATGATCTGTCAACATCAGGATGATGCTGAATTTCATTACGTTGTCGCAAGATGATTCGTGGCTGTGGTACCATCATGCTGTTGCATTTGCGATCCCCATGATGCTGTTCGCATCACCATGCTGCTGCTCGCATCACCATGCTGCTGCTCGCATCACCATAGTCTCACGAAATCGTTCGTGGCTGGTGTATCAGCATGGTGTTGTCAACATCATCACTATGCTGTTGCGCTCATTAGGACGTTGTCTGCGCGTTTATTTAGTGCACCATGCTGAGTGGCTGTGGTGTCATCAAGATGCTGTCAACATCATCATGATGCCGCGGGAACCATTTAGATGCTGCGTCATGGTTCGTAGCCGTGGTGTGCTATCTGGGGTCTATGCTGGTGTATTTCCTTTTTTTTTGGGGGGGTGGCTGCCCCACTAAACATGGTCTTCGCCAAAAACATTCCCCTTTGTTTTCCTCCAGGGTCACTGAACAACTGAGCAAAGCTCTGATCTCGCATGCGGAATCACAAATCAGCGGTATTTCATGATTCTCCTGGAAGCTCACCAGGCGGTGCTGTTGTTCTAAGGTTTGATTCCAACCAGTCTTTTCAAGCATCGTTCTTTCCAACAACCGGCCGTTTTTCCTGGGTTTCCGGAGGTTTTTTAGGAAGAAGGATCCCTGGAAAGAATGGGGAAGGTACCCCTAGAGTTGTTCTATTTGTTCTCAGCTCGCCCAAAAAAGCACCCCAGGCGCCACTCGGGCTGGTTTATGCCAGTTTTGCATTGAAGGTAGCCCAGTCAGTGGCACTCACACGCAGAGAAAGGCCTTCCCAATGCAATCCAAATTTGCGAGTTCCAGTAAGGGTTCCCAAAGTTGTTTTTTGAGTAAAAGACAGGTGCTAACCATGCCTTGGCTGCCACCACCTTGGCTGACCTGAACCGCGGATCCAGTTGCGTGCCTTCAAATTCTCGCTTTCAGAAGCCGAAGAAAGGCCCGCAGAAAGGCTGCCCAGTTGCCCGGTGGTGCCCCTTTTATTATTTTCTTGGGAAGGGTTTCCCTTTAAAGTAACCATGGCCTTTGGGAAGGGTTACTGGGGAACCATCCCTTTTGGGAAACCATGTTAAATAACATCCCTTTTGTTGTTGAGCCATGTTATTTAACCGATGGCCTTTGGGAAGGGTTCCCCGATGGTCTTTAAGCATCCCTTTGAACCAACCAAGAAAGGATGCCCTTGTTTTTCCCATGGCCACTGGGCATTTGAGAGACAGACCCGACTTTCCTCAGACGTCGCAAGAGACCGCAACTCTGAGGCTTTCTGACCGCCCGGGCGCTCAGAAATCTGACACAACGCCACAGAACGCCTGGCGGGGTTTGGAGGAACTGGACGGACGAGATCCATGTCGCGTCGTTCCGAAACCCTGGAATGATGACTCCGCTGCAAATACCAACAAACAATGGTGTTCCGTGGTTTCAAAGTGGTCAGGATTTCGTCCATCCATAGTATGGAGGTTTTATACTTTTTGCTTATTTAAGGGGCATACACTGGCTAGGAATCTTGAATCGGTTGTAAATCAGAATCGAACCTCCAAAAATTATTCCTGAAACTGCTTTTGAGGGTGGACCAGTTGATCGGTTTCCCGAAAAGTGAAGGCCCCCCTATAAACTTAGACTCCATCTCCTAGCACTCAACAACGGTTTTCATTAATCCTGAGTTTGGTTCAATTAGTCAGAGCAATTCCTGAGATAGAAAAGGCTCCACCGCTGCTTTCTTGATGTGTTGCTCCTCTCAAGTGCCACCCAACGAATACTTTTGACTTTGCCCAAGGGAAACTAAAAGAAAATGGATAGCTTAGAACAAATTCCAGATCCCCTGTTTGGTGCCCAGGTGCTCCCAGCAAACCATTCAACAGGTTCCTTTTTTTTACCAGGGTCAATTGGGAGAACGTTGTCAGCTTCCAGGATTGCCTCAGGGCAAGCAACTAGGGGATCCACCGAAAGAACAAAACAATCAAACAGAAGTTGCCGCCTTGTGTGGGAAGTGAGTAACTACACACGTGATCGTTCCAGGACTATGATCATGAGGTTTGGTTTCTGTGTGCCCCACATGGTTCTCCTTGTTTGGGTCCGCGTAGAATCGGTAGCTCAAATCAAGCAGTCCAACCCGAAGTTGGTGTTGAGCCGCTGGGAGCCTCATCCTCAGACTGCAGCGGGGGTTGAGGGATGGGCCCTGGAGAGCACTGCCAGCGGTGCCCCGGGTGGACCTGGACTTCCTGGCCCTGACGGTCATGGTGCTATGGGTGGGCTCGGCAGCGGGCTCCCAGCGAAAAGGCCCGAAGGGAGCTCCCGAAGAGCTTTGAGCTTGGAGCGCTGCTTTTTGGTTCTCGGCGGTGGAATGAGCTTGGCCAGGCTGCCCATCCAAAGACTTTGTAGGACGGCCCTAGGAGGGAAAACGGGCGACATATGTATCTGTATGGATGAACAACATGTACGGATATGTACAGGTATGTACGTGGCTGTGTATAGCTGGGACTTTGCTGTATGCAGCAAATTTCACCCCACACGCGCCCCTCGGAGCGCCATTGCTTGGTCCCAACTTGAGGTCCCACTAGATCAGGCTCACTTCATCTGTTTTTTTCCCAGTTTTCAAATGGTGGACCGCCCCGTCTTTCCGCCTCCAAGTGGTGGACCCCTTGTCACCACGTTGGATTCCATCCAGTTTTAAGGTAGTCCTTACTGGTGGTTTGCGGATTTCAACCCCTGGTTCTTGAACAGGGCAAAAGGAAAGCCACCTCTGAACCTGCCCCAGAATTAGTCCCCCTTTTTTTGTTGCTTTTTTGGGGTCCCCTTTGTTTTCCACTCACCAGGCTTTTTTTTCTGGGGTCCTACTTCCAGCCAAGTAACCACCTTACCCGCCCTTCCTCCAACATAGCGCCTCACAGGGACTTCCTTTAAGTGGAAACTGATCTTCCAGGTACCTTCCCGCAAGTGCTACGTTTGTTGGAGGAAGGGTAACCACCAGACGGAATTTTGGGGCTCGATGCGTCACCTCCGGTCCATCCGCTTCTTTCCGAGGCCTTCTTCGGTTTCTTCTTCCCGCCGCTCGGCAACCGATGGAAGGCATGGAAAGGGCACGGAGATTTTTGCTCGAGGTGCGCCCAGGGAAGCCCAAAACCAAAATGGCTAGGGGTCGTGTTTGTTTGTGTTGATTTTGCCGGACTTATGTAACAACCTTAAAAAAGACACACCCCTCTAAGAGGAGCACGTCAGAAGTGGCATTCCGCCCCGTGTTTCATTCAGGGATGACCTAGGTATCCGTTCGGTTTGAGGCTTCTCATCAGGGGCAGCCATGTGAGAGAACCTAATATGACTCAAGTCAACCAACTCACGGGTCGCTTCCAAGCTGGTGGGTGGAAGGGAGCCGAGAAGCTGGGGTTATGCATTTGGTCCTTCAAACGGGGAGCCTGTTGCAGCCCAGTTCCATGAGGAACATGGGAGGCTCCGAAAGCTCTAGACATGGACTCAACCAACAAGAGGTGGAAGCAAGACCTTGTAAAGTCAGTCAAGACACGGTCAAAAATATGTATATATATATATATATACATACATCTACCCCCAAGATCTTGGGGCGTATCTCAGTTCAGGGCACTGGTTGCACTCTATTTCCCTTTCCCTTCATTTGCTCAATATTTTTTTTTTCCCTGGTTGGTCTTAAAAGGCTTCCCTCTTAAAAACACAACTTTTCAACTTTTTGGGTAACATGGGCTATATGTCTGTAAAAGATTAACTTCCCCAGGGCTTGGAGTTTTAAGGGGTAAGAAGGAATTCATCACTACTGTGTATTTTTCCTGTGGCCTGAACCAACTGGAAGTTTCTAAGTGTTGTCAGCGTCCACCTTTTTTGTCCAATTTCTCAGTGTGCGAGTTTCCCCTGGTGACTTGCGCAAGTCGTGGCGGAACCGAGGATGGCCAAGGAGGACGAGCCCTTCTGGGTGATGCCCCACGCACAATCCAATTAGGCCAAAACAGGGAGCCGAGCCGTGCCCCGCCGAGCCGTTCCGCGGAAAAGCTCGCGAAACGAAATTTGGAGCTCTTCCGCGAGGGGGGTGCAGGCCGGCAGGTTTCACCACTGCCTTGCAAGCCTTCGACAAACCTGGGCTTTGGGGCCTGCAGCATTTTCTGCATGAAGCTTGGGCCGCCCTTTTTCTGAAGGATTGTTATCGCCTGTGCTGTTTAAAGGCAATCCCCAAAAGGCCTGGCGGAAGAAAAAAAAAGAAGGTCACGAAGCGCCGGTAAAACGTCCAGTCCACCAGCCTCCCTATTGGTCTGTGAACAGGGCACTTGTGCATGCCGCCTGCGAGCAGCATAGCGTGAGATTCGGCTTGCATGGCACGTGGCACCTGCGCAGCTCGAAAATGCGGGCTGCGTTGATGCATGCTAGAGCCACAGCATGGCGAAGCAGACGCGCTGCACCGAAAGAAGCTGCACGCGCAACTGCCAGCGCAGTTGGTCGTTGAGTCCCGGTGTTTGAAGTGCTCCCGTTTAGACTTCCACACTGTGGATGGACGAACTCCTGCACCACCTGAGAAAGCCTGCAATGACGATTCGCCGAAAAATGCAAACAAACAATGGTTTACTATGGTTTCAAAGTGGTGCGAAATGGATTTCGTCCATCCACAGTATTGGGAACTCTGTGGTGCTCTGAAATGCCTAGCCATGTTTGTTTTTTTGCTGGGCGTGGTTCCCTGCAACATGATGCAACATGCGAGGAGCGAGCCCCTTTTGTCACCCGTGGCCACTGGGCGAAGAGTTGGGTCGTGACAGGTTGGGAGACAGCCGGGGAGCAGCAGACGGGGTATTCGCACTTGCTTTGCTGGGGGGGGAGGGGGGGCACTTTACTTGGTGCTCCTCAGCCATCCCGTTGACGTTTGTTCAGTTGATTTAGTGGTTGGGGTTTCCATCTAATCCACAAGTTAAACTTTTGGCCGGGGATGAGAAACCGGAGCCTAGTTCACGGATTCGGTGACCGTCAGCACATCAGGTGAGTACTTCTACAACCCCACCACCGGGGTTCCGGACTCGGCTGGCGATGGGATTGACGACGAGTCCGGGTGTTGGGGATGAGCCGTTTGGGGATTCCTTAAAGGGAACTATAGGTTGGATGGTTTTTCTCAGGCTTTTTCCATTTCTCATTCCCTGCTAAGAATCTGCAAGTTCTTTGAAGTTGACTGATTAACGCGACCTTGACGAAATGACGCGTTTGCAGATGGCTCGAGCACCACTTGCTAAGTGGGCTCAGGCAATTGCATCCAAGCAGAAACATTCTTTGCATCAAACCACACTCGTTTCCAGAGGTAGTCATTTTTCTCAGCGGCTTTGTTGGATGGGTGCCCGTAACTCGGACAGTGGAGCAAGAAGGTCGTAGGCAACAAGGGGACCCTTGCGGGTGTTTGCGAGTGGCCTTTGTGCCAATGACTGAGGACGACGACCACTCTCCAAGCCAAGTTTTTTCATGGGAGCCCACTATTTACCTTGGAGGAAACCTTTGCCAAGATACACTCCCCAACATTGCCCTTGGCCCCTTGCGAGCATTTGCTTTCACCCGGCCGAGCACGCGGAGGTCTCCACCTGGGAGCGACCTACGAACTGCGCCAAGCCTGGGGCCGAGTGGTTTAAGGAGCTTCCGGTTGCTGAAATGAATGTTTTGCTTTATTTCCCCTTTTGGTTTTAAAAGGAATTTATCACTACTGGAAATAGTTTCATTTTTCTCACTGGTCTTAACCAAATGGAAGGGGGATTTTTCTGAAGGGAAACGGGTAGGGAATATTTTTTCCGGGTGTTGCTGGAATGAGCCGGTTTTTGACCTCCATAGTTACCTTTTGGTTGGGTCCAACAACGCGTGTGGTTGGAAAAACGGGGTTCCTAAACGATGTGCTTTTGCAATAGTCTCATTTCAGGTAACTCGACAGGTTGGGGGAGGGAGGGAGGGAGGGAGGGAGGGAGGGAGGGAGGGAGGGAGGGAGGGAGGGAGGGAGGGAGGGACTTGGCCCCCCCACACACACACACAAGAAACAGCCGTATGCAGAGCCATTCAGGTAACCCGTAGTTGGTGGTTTAGATTGGTTTGGGATGTGAACTGCTTCCTGACATGAAATGGGAAGCCCCTCCCACCAAGCCAAACCACCAATTGAAAGGAAGCTGATCAGTTGGCTATGACTGTTAAGAGGGGAACATCTCCAAAATGGTTGGGAGAAAGAAGAAGACAGAAGTAATTCTAAGGTGTAATAAAGACGGATTAAAGAGATATGTGAGAAGCCAAAGGAATATGGTTGTATCAGTTGGTAAGGATATTGAGATTGTAACTCCTGTATAATAAGCTCTAACCTACAGTATACATATGATTGCCCCAAACAAGACTTCCAAGAAGAGACAAAGATGACATGGCAAAGACCATTGATGGCTTAGCAAAGGTTAGTAAATGTAAAGTCCCCACAAAATATGGACATGATCCAAAATGCAAGAATTATTAAGATGGAAACTTCTGTATGTCCAAAAAAGGAATCAATGTTTATAGAATGTAAGATCTCCTTCAAGTATTGGATCATCAAAAAGTGTATTAGAATGAGTGAGGATCACTCAACATAAAAAGAAGCGTACCAGATAAGATAGGTAACGTTAATAAAAGCCTGAAAGCTGTAGTCAAGAAAGGGGAAGGACATAGTGAGATAGCCTTTGATATGATAATAATATCTCAGATTTAGAACTGTTGTCCAAAAGTTAAGAGATGTAAGACATGACGGTATAGCAGAGACTAATCATCTCAATTCAAGTGTTGCTGTACTTGAAGGTGATAAAGTCATAAAGCAAGTGGATTATGGTGGATATAATGTCCATCCTGTACCACCTCCAAGTTCTGAGATTAAAGAAAGGACTAGGCAAACATATGAAATTATAATAATTATGGTAAAACAAACATAGACTCTGGGATATACCACTGCTGGAGAGCTTTGACAAATAGGTACAACATAAGTTTTCAAGCCCTCCAAATTAACCAGGCATGACCAAAAAGAATATCATGAGAAAGCCACGCAATGTAATGCTTATACTATAGAAGTTCGGGTTCTCTGGAGATATCGTCCTTTCCCTGATGAGCATGATTTTATTCTTTTAAGGACTGATAATGTACGGGAGGTGCCAAAGATGAATCTAGACAATAAATTATACTGTAGATTCCTAAGCCTTTATCATTACACTTTTTAACTAGTGAACAGGAATAATATAGTAAAATAATAAAATCGATATAGTAGGACATGATATAAGTGTAGGTTTTCAATTCTTCATTGTTCTTCTTGCATTGAGTCAGCAGCGCGGTCCCTCAAAAATCCGTGCGGAGACGCGAAGCTCCGAAGACGCGAGCTTGAGCTTCACCCCGAAGACGCGAAGACGCCAGAGGGTCCGACGGTACAATTTCACCGGCAATTGCAAATGATGCAGGTAAGATGTAGCCGATGCCTTGGGGAGCAGTTCAAGTTCTTCAGGCTCAAGGACCAGCAGCAAGAAGATCAGTGAGGGTGGAGCGGCCTCAGATCCCTTGGGTAGCGGCCGGTGATCCCTGATCGGATCAGGAGGGGGGTGAGGGATGGATGATCTTGCTTCCAGAAAACAATGCTGCTCAAGCGGGATGGAAGAGCTCATGGCAGAATTGACGGATGGTCCACCAGAAGTGGAGGCTGAGCGGGATTGGACAGGGTTGCAGATGCAAAGGTGTTGGAGAGACCGGTTTTTATGGAAATGCTCAGGGAAGCAACAGCGGAGGACCTGGAGAACGATGAGTTCGGGCATTTGACGGCTAAAATTGGAGGAAGGGGCAACATTGAGAAGATCCTGGAGGCTCGATGCTTGAATCCTGGCTTGTTTGGAGTCGCATGCCAAGCGAGGCTTGCAATCCTGATGGGACGGCTTCTGGGAAAGAAGACCTGCACTTTTGATTTCATTTTTTGAGACTCCCGCGGGACAGGCCGATGATTGTCGACTTGAGGAAGTTGACGAGAGATGAAGAACACAAGAGAAACAGGGGGTTTTTGGGGCTGGCAAACCAAGAAAAAGCTGAGTTGAATGGATGGATGGGATCCGATCCAAAAAACAGCTGGTTTGAGTGATGGATGACTGGGATCAGCGGATCCTCACTGGTTGCAACCAGACAAAGGGAGCAGGTTGAGGCCGGATGAGATTATTTGATTTTCAGTGGGAACCAAACCGAACCACCAACAAGAGGTTTGCTTGGAAACCTGTTTGTGAGCAAAGCTGGGGGACCCGAAAGGGAGATCTACCCAGGTGCGCGCTACGCGCCGGACCTGTTGGAGGTGCTGATGCCGCCAAGGCCACCTGCTGTCTATTTTGGGC